CCCCCCCGGCGAGGAGGGAGGAGCGGCAGGAACAACAGAGCCATGAACTGATTCCAACCCCCATTCCCTGTTCCCCCTCCTGCGCAGCTCGGGGGGAGGAGAGAGAGAAATCGGGAATAAAGTTAAGCCCGGGAAAGAAGGGAGAGGTGGGGGGAAGGTGTTTTAAGATTTGCTTTTATGAGATAAGGATAATAACAGGGAGAGGTGACAGGCAAAACATGTGTTGAACAATGTTAGAGAGCGGAATGATTGTGGGAAATTTATGCTGTTGTAATTGTAGTGAAGGGCCGAGGGGTGGATTGTGTGTAAATTGTCCACTGTTGTTTCAGCGTTGTGATGATGTTTTGGATGTTTATTAGGCTTTAGCTGTGTTCTAGGGAAGAGTTATAATAGCCGTGATTGCAGCATGCTGGAAATGGGCATCTGGAGGTATCAGGAGGGGCCTGAGTTGTCTCCACTAGTGCAACAAACAATCCTGAAAGGCAGTAAGGACCGTGAGGTTGCATTGTCATTTTAGCTATTGAGGAGCACATTCATTTGATGACTTTTCACTGTTGGAGATGGTAAACAGAATCCAGAGTGTTTTGTCTAAAGTGGTAAAATATTCCTTTACTACATCCATGTCCTAAAAAAAAATCTCAATTTTTTTAAAATGCAGTAGTTATTACAGTTCTTTTGTTTACTTACCTTCACAGTAAAAAAGCTCTATAAAATGCATTTGCTCTGTGAAAATACCACAGATGCAAGTAATAAATGAGGACTTTCATCCCAGTTTATGCCTTCTCTCTATTTCCACTCTTTGTGCTAAGTACTATTTAAAAGCCATAATTAATGAGGCAGAAAATACCAGGAGGTCCTTTAGGACAGTTATCTAGTACTGTCTTCAGTTTGCTTCTCTGGGGAGCACTATCTTGATTATCTGTCTTCTGTTTCAGTCACTGTGGGGCTGATGTCATACTTCCACCATCAGAGGAATTGTGCAGCAGTAGGAATGATGTCATACTTCCACCTTTACTTTGGTAAGCACAATTTAAAATTCTGGAGAACCTCCCTTCTCTCTTGCTGTCTGCTCAGAACTAACACTTTTCAGAACTGCAGGTTTTCAGAAGGTAAGTCTGGCAGATCTCTTCTGCCTATTGCATGACAACCAGAAGATCCACGTGATTTTATAATTATTTCTTAGATTTCAGCTAAAGGATCCCTCACTTCCAGACACAGCAGAAAGGCTATGGGTTTGGGAGGGAAAACTCATGAGGCTTTGTTTTATCTTACTGGGAGAGGATGGGGTTTGCTCCATCCTATCACAGAATGGGCCATTGCTCTGTCACCATGTTTATCAGTTTTCTGGGAAACCAGCTGAGTTATAAGAGATGAGACCTATTTCTTCATCTGGTCTGTGTTTCCCAGCTGGCTTCTAGGCCATTTTCTGAACATGCATGTACATTTGGGGCTATGAGAGAAGGCACGGACTGGTTGGTAAGTGGTGTTTCCACACCTTTACAGCTCAGTCCATATTGATCCTGAGGAAGATTAATTTATTCTCATTCTTAATTTGGCTGGCACCTGATGTCCTATAGAGATTGCAAGATACATACTTGAATATACCACAAACCTGACTGCTGGCTCCTAAGCCCACAGCTGTCTCTGCAGAACTAGGCTATGGGGAAGACGGAAGTATTGCAATGGGTCAGTATAATCCATGTGGGCATAGGGGGATTAAAGCTATAGGGACAGCATCTTGTTTTGCCCTGGTGAAGGTGATGAACATGCTTACAGATTTCAGCCAAAAAGTCTCCAATGGCATAAACAAATACAACTCAAAACCAATGTGCATTCACTCTGGCAAGCCCTGAAGAGATACTAGCTTTAGGCTGCTGAGAACAAGCAGCTTCAAGTATCTGGAATGCTGGTCACCACATTTCACACCAGCTGAAATATTTAGCAGTGCAATCTGCAAGGATCATAAACAGGAGTATTAAAATCTTGAAAGAGCAGATACAGGAAAATATTTCTCTTATGAAAATCACAAACAAATACAGTTCCTTCCAAATCCCAACATCTTCTGAAACTGTTTTTTGAGCAGAAACAGCTGTGTCTCAGATAAGACCAAGTTCCTTTCAATATAACACAGCCTCTGATCTTCTTCCTCCCTTAATCTTCTTTTAGCCTTGTCAGCTGTGCCAAGGGTCTGTGCTGAAATTGCCAGTGCTCAGCCATATGCTATGGCCACAGCGGGATGCTGAAATGTGGATGATCACCTCAAGGAAGTATTTGCTGTATTCAAAATATGTGGGAGAACACAGGTTTTGGTGGAGGAAGAGTGTAATTGATGGTTGTCCTCAGAGCTGGCGTTTTTATGGAAGAGACTAGTGTTCAACACTTTGCCCCCTGATTATCACTACAGCCAGACCAAAAACAGTAAAAGAAAAAACTCGGCTTCAGGACCAAGAATACTTTCCTTTGGATAATTAGTTTCTGGAGATGTGAGAGCCCATGTCCAGGTCTCACAGTCTCCCTTGTTCCCCTATCCCCCTTCAGAACGTGCTATGGAGGATAATCCTGTGACTCTCACCAATTTCTGAATCTTGCACAGTTTCCCAGTCACACTCTGCCTCATTTTTGAGAGATTTGGAGATTAAAACATTAACACTTTATCTTTACAAGATATATGGAGACAGAAATGTACTACATTTTCTGCGCAAAGTATTTTCACTGAGGTGCAAGAGCTTTTGAAATATGTGTTTGGAACAAGATGCTTGTTCCTTTTCTGAGAGTATTTAAAAAGTTGCTTATGATTTTGAGTCTTTGGCTCCAGATAACTACTAGGACCTACCTTCCTAACGAGTCAAATATTTACACCACCAGAGGACATGCAGAATTCTGGTAGCTGCTGATGGCTGTTCTGCTCCTGAACCCTGCACACTGTAATGAAACAGGTATGGACGATGGTCATGTGTACTCATAAAGTAACAATGCTGGATGCATGGTTGGACACAAGAGGAGATGTAGGAAGCAAATCCTTATCAGAACTCCAACATGAGTGCAAATGAAGAGCAACACTCACTTTCTCTGGAGCAGTAGCCTTCATTCTTGTTTTATTTGTGAGTCCCTAGCAAATTTCCAGTAGGAAAGCAGGCTCGCCCATGCAGCAAATATTATTGCCTGGTAACAGCTTTCCTTTTCCAATCCTAAAAAGATGCTCAAGTCCCAGGACTAAAGCTGTCACTGTACAGGATCCCATTGTGAACAGCATCACAATCTCAGTCATTCTTCAGGTCACTGAAGAGGAGAAAGGGAAACTCTCAGTGAAACAGGCTGAAGGCTTTTCACCTCTCAGAGAAGCATCCCCTCCTGTTATGACAAGGTCTATTCTTTCTCATTGTTATTCCCACTTTGACTGTCACCCTGCAGGGAGGGGCTGCAACAGAGGGAACTAAAGGCCTGGGCTCCTCTCCTACTTCGCCCAGAGAGGTGCTGGCCCTTTGGCAGTGGTGAAATCAAGATTCTCTCTGGGACAGGGTTTGTGTAACAATCCTGAAGAGCAGCGCAACCTGGCAGAGATCACTGCCCTACCTTTCAGAGGCAGTGGAAGAGATTGGGCAGAACCTGTGGAAGGGTTGGAAGAACTCCAAAAAACTTAAATATTTCTGGTGGTGTTTAGGGTTAAAGCCTGAGGCACTGGAACTGCCTATATTGCATAAAAACTTTTAGCCAAGTAGCTTCACAAAATGGGTAACAAGAAGTAGCTAACATCCACCCTGAACAGTTGCCACCACTGTTTCTATGTGACAGGGGAGAGGTGAGGGGTGGCATTTGTAGGACAGACTCACAGAACCAATAGTCCTTCCCGGGTGCTTTGTTAGCAGAGTGAGTGATGCACTTTCTTCCTATTAAACCTAAAAGTTACGCATTCTATTTATACACAGAATCTTTCGCAAAGCTAAGGATTGATATTTAAAAGCTAGGAGGTTTATTTTCAGTCCATTGGTTGAAGTCTTCAGGAAGAAAATTGTGAAACTGCAGGGAATAGTCTAGTTGCCACGGACACAGCTCTGACACACTCTTTGGGTGTCTATGAATAACGTCAGAGAATACGCCCAGGCCCCTCCTGCTCCCCCCACCACCCACCGCCTCCGCTCTTTTTTGGAGCCTTGCAAGAAGCGCAGCTAGGACAACAGTGTCACCTGCTGGTGAGCGAAATGGCTGTTCCTGCCTGCTGCCTTCATTTCCACTGCGCATCGCCGACTGCTTTTATGTGTTCGATGAGAATACAGCTTCTCACCTTTGCATTAAAGGAGACAATGCGGTGAAGCCGTGTCAGTAACAGCTTTAGATGACAGCATTTCTTTCAGTTTCTGTGCTATTTAAACACTAGAGATTTTCCAAGGTTTGCTTAACGAATTATAGAGTGGTTTTGGTGATATGGCTTTCATTTTATGACAGTTATTTTAATAGAGTTTTAAAACTGAGGCTGATACTGAGCCACACTTTGTTCTGCATTTGCTGTTGTTTAAGAATACATAAAAACCTAGTATAGGTATCACCTACACACCTTAAAACCTTCACTTCAAAGTCTGTGGATCTCACACTTCTGTGCATGTCTAACACGTGTATGTATGTATTTCACAAAGGTGGTCAAATGAATGATCAGGTGGAAGAAAACTGCAAGAAAAGCAATTCTGCCCAGGAAACACCTGCAGAAGGAAATGTGTCTCCTGCTAAGGACTGCAGAACAACACAAAAACAACTGGTATGACTTTTCCAGTACCTTTTTATTATCAAGATACTTACCCTTGCCTTCAATTTCTTCTACAATTGCAAAAGTAAAAAGCTGGAGTCAATAGGGAAATATCAGTAATAACAACAGTGAAATAAGTCAAGATGCAGTGTAGTGATTTAGAAGGCTAAGAGCACTTCCAAGCTCAAACGAAATAGTGAGCAGGGAAACAGGAGAGTACCCTTAGAGGGAGGATTATCTCTTACTATTTGTTTCCAACTTGAAATTGCATAATTTATGACCAAGGACAATGATGATGCTGAAGCATATCTTCTGCACTGAAAATCTACCCGACTCAAAAGCAGAAATGTCTGAATAATATATAGGTGCATGAGATTGCCCTATAGGTTACCAGCAGGATGCAGCTGAAGATGCACAGCATCAACTGCCTTTTAAGTGAGTGCATTCAAGTGCACAGGTATTTCTAAATCACTGTTATCAGCAGATTAGACTGAACCGCCACAGCTTTCCCCATAAGAAGCAAAAAAGGCACTCACTTGTTTGTGAAAAATCACTGTGGACTCTGAAAGGAACGACACCTTCCAGGGAAGCTGAGGGGTGGCAAGTCAGCTCCATTTACCTATGAGGAGAAAATATAAATTTGTACGTACGTTTGTGCCTTTGCATAATGAATGATAAGTGTATGTTTAATGTCCGTGGTCATTGTCCAAGTAGAAATTTTTTGACACAATGCCCTTGTTTGTTTGCATTGACTTTAGACATGACTGTCAACATACAGTTGGGGGTTCATCTGCTGGAGAGCAGCTCTGTGGAGAAGGACCTGGGAGTTGTGGTAGACAACAAGTTGACCATGAGACAGCAATGTGCCCTTGTGGCCAAGAAGGCCACATGTGGCCAGCAGGTCAAGGGAGGTTCTCCTCCCCCTCTGCTCTGCCCTGGTGAGGCCATATCTGCAGTACTGTGTCCAGTTCCGGGCCCCCCAGTTCAAGAGGGACCGGCAACTACTGGAGACAGTCCAGCAGAGGGCTATGAAGATGATGAGGGGGCTGGAGCATCTCTCCTATGAGGAGAGGCTGAGAGACCTGGGGCTCTTTAGCCTGGAGAAGACTGAGAGGGGACCTTATCAGCACATACAAATATGTAAAGGGTGGGTGTCAAGAGAATGGGGCCAGGCTCTTCTCAGTGGTGCCAGTGACAAGACAAAGGACAATGGGCACAACCTGGAGCACAGGAAGTTCCGCTTGAACATGAGGAAACACATCTTCACTTTGAGGGTCACAGAGCCCTGGAACAGGCTGCTCAGGGAGGCTGTGGATTCTCCTTTCCTGGAGATATTCAAAACCTGCCCGGACTCAGTCCTATGCAATCTGCTGTAGGTGAACCTGCTTTAGCAGGGGGGGTGGACTAGGTGATCTCCAGAGGTCCCTTCCAACCCCTGCCGTTCTGAGATTCGGTGATACATGGGCCAATACTCAGAGCTGATGTTTTAATCTCCAAAACTTTTCAGCAGTTTTAGCTAATTGCAAACACGAATTCCATAAAATAGGAAAGAAAATGCTTCCTCCTATTTCTCAAAAACTGTGCTCAGTTCATCTTCTTTATTTTTGTTTGTGGTTTTTTCATACTCCTCTTTTGTACAAATGCTTTCTTCCTGCACTATTTGCTCCTCCAGACACTTCTCTTGCACCCAGATTATTTGGACAAAGATGGGTTCTAGGCATCTGAGGGAACAGTGAAGATAAGGGCAAACCCAGTTAAGATGCTTATAGTCATAGTACTTGTTTTCACATTATGGATAAAGTTGAAGAAAAAAAAACCCACATGATTCTGCCTCCCCTAAGACAATTTTCAAACTCCATGCCACTGTGCCAGAGTTGTGTATTCAGAGTCACGGTTGTTCCCTCTCCTGTCAGGATGCTCAGCCAGTCAGAGGAATACTCAATTAACAGTTAGGTAAGCAAATATTTTAAACTATGCTTTCCTAATTCAGGTTGAATTTTGCTCTGTTCTCCTACCTGTTTGTTTTAAGTTATCAAGAATATTGATTTTAATGTCATTTGAAAGCCAGTGAGGACACTTGGCAGCTAATAAATATTTGTTGCAATTGTACTAATTATAAACTTTGTTGTTTATTCATAGCAACAACTTGAGAAACAATTAAAATACTTAGCCTTTCAAAATCCAGGACCTCAGGTAGCTGACTTCAATCCGGAAACTAGAGAGCAGAAAAAGAAAGCGCGCATGTCACAGATGAAACAAAATTCTTTTTATAAGTCCAAGTAAGATGTGCTAATTTATTACATATTTTACGTTAAAATGGCTGGTATGCTGTTCACTGAATATAAATGAAATGAATAAAAGCATCAATATTTTGCAGACAGATTTCTTATTACACATGAGAGCTGTGCTGGGAAAACAACCTTTTTCTGTGTGACTTACAAGAATTTTGATTTACTTCTTTGGCACACTTTTGTTTTAATAACAGTGGCTGCTGCAATTATGCAATAATGCTGGTATTTCATTTTGCTGTGAGGTTGTTAAAGAGGAAATATTTGTTCCTGGACAGATGTTTTCCTCATTTGTTTGGTTTCTAACATGTTGAAGCATTCTCTGAGAATCACTTTTTCTTCTCTTTTGCAGAATTACAAAGAAGTATGACAAACATGGCAGGCTGCTTTGTAATAACGTTGATTTGTGTGATTGCCTGGAAAAGAACTGCCCAGGTTGCTTCTATCCTTGCCCCAAATGCAATTCAAACAAATGTGGACCAGAATGTCGCTGCAACAGGAAATGGGTTTATGATACAATTGAGACTGAAGCTGGGAATGTGATCAGTGTGTTGCCATTTTTTGTCCCTGACTGATTTTATTCTGACAGTTTTTGTGCCTAAGCAATGTTCTTCTTTCTTCACATTTTATTAAAGTAAATCTTGGCTTTATGAATTGTCTCTAGTGAAGTTCTTGGCAGTGGTGCTTGTGCTTCTTTATCACTGCTACCTAGCAGACTTTAACCATCCCCATTAAGTAAATGTATTTCATTCTTACTCACCTTTGCAAGCTTTACTCAAGCATCTAGACAGTCATCTCTAAACCCTGACTTTTTAAAACTGAAGGTGTCTCAACTGCTGTGGGAAGACAATCTTACCCTGGCAAGTTGGACCACATTACTTTTAATGAGTTTTTTTCTTGCAGATTTCTCTGCTTGTTCATTTACGCGGATGTGTGACACAGCTCTTGCTTTTGTGAGCGCTTGTACAAGTGTCTTTTCCTTCAGATGCATCCATGTCTTGTATCAATGAAGCAGGAGTCATTTGAAATAACACTCTTCTTTGAAAGTAGGTCACTACTTTTCCATGTCCCTCTGTATATCAAGCAGAGAAGAGTGGAAACGACTCTGCTATTCTTTCTTGCTGTCCAGGCTACAAGAATGAAACTGACATGTTCAGTCAGCTTTTAAATTTTTTTTACAGCATATGATGCACTTAACCTTGATCAGTCATTAATTACATAGTTAGAGGTAAATGGATTGCATATTTTTGCCTCTGGACAAAAAAGTCTCTTCAGTTCCAGGAGTTTCCTCTTCATGCAAGACAAGATTTCAAATACCATAACTTCCACCGAGTCTTCTTACGAGGTAGGTGTTCTTATTCATGATGGGCACTCACACCCTTTTTGATGACTGAGGCTCCCTCTGGACCTTGGAGTGGGGAAACCTGCAGATTGCTGCACGCAGTCTTCAGGAGTGTGCTGCTAGTGGGGGAATCATTTGTTGGTTTTGAGGAGACTCTCCCACCTTTGAACATGGCACCACTTTTCTCCTCTACAAGAGGCTGTTCTCTGTGGACAAAGACCTCCTGCTCCAAGGCAGAGATATCTCCCAGAAGAAGAAAATTCCTGGAACAGATCCCAAGAATGCCTTAACACCACAATCTCCTTCTGACTTGACACCTTGGAAAGATTTGTTGCTCCTTTCAACTAATGACACCTCAGTACTTAAGCTTGTAGCATAAAAACACCCAGTACCAAAAAACCTCATAGGAATATTCGCTATGGTGGTTAAAACACTCTCTATTTGGCAGTTGGATCTAGTGCTGTTCTCTCAAAACCTCCCTAGTCCCAAAGTATCTTTTGACTTGTGCTGGGAGTCTAAATAGCCCACATAATCTCTGAGCTATATTTCTTAAGGTAGGTGGAAATCCCGTCAATGTAGTTAGGGGTTGGTTTCTTGTTCCAGGTGTGCCAGAGAGTCATTCTAGACGTGATTGAGTAAGCAGCTCTTCAAGAAGATAAAATTGATTTACATGGTCAGGGACCTTCCTCTGAAACAACCTCAAGATCTAAAATGGACAGGTTTGAATTTCTTTCCACTTAAAGGCAAAAAGCCAAATAGTTTCTCAAGTGGATTCCTGTGGAAAGGCTACATGTTAACTTTTTAAGTAATGTGATTAAATGCAGATTGGTGTAAAACTTTAGAATCCCATTATTGAATTCATTGGTGTTACTCTGTGGTTTTAAACACGGATAGTGCCTCTGTCCCAACCATAGCTAAATGCAAACTATAAGAGAACTGCATCACACACTTAGTGCAACCTTGAAAATATAGCACAAAAGCTGAAAAAACAGAAGTTAGTGCCAAAATAAGGATATAGAAATATGAGAATGTTGCAAAGACAGTTCTGCTGTGGTTTGAGAATGACTCTTCGTTGTTGCAACGATCCTGCTAACTTTTCCCTCAATTCCAAATGAACAGCTGACAATGCACAAGTATAATCCCTATTAGGGCAGTTGGACATAGTAAAAAAAAAAGAAACAAAAAGACTTGTGTCATACATATGTTTGTACTGGTTGTGTAACTTAGTGGTAGATACATGTATATAAAAATAACAACAGAGTCCCCATATCTGATTGCTTTTGTTAGGAAATTACATAATGCCACACTGCATTGACATTGCGGTTTTAAATAAAATCCCTTACCAGAAAAGGCAGAGAACATTTCTTAGTCTCTTAGAAATTGATCACCCTCCAGATGACGCTAGATCATATTTTTATCTTATGTCAGTCTGAACAGAATATGTTTTTTCCTATGGAATAAGTTTGCTTTAGAAAGCTAATGTTTAAAATAAGGTGAAGCAGATCAATCAACTGTTCCATAAGGTCTGTTAGTCCTTCTTCTCTTTCTACCCTGTCTGCCCCACCCTGCTCTGGATTATGCAGGTTGAATACTTTGTGACACGGTGAATTTATTTTGCCTGTCTGTTCCTTGCCCTTGTGGCTGCTTCGCTCATGGCTACCAGTGGTCCCCCTGTGGCTTAATGAAAGATGAAAGCACAGGTCTATATTAAACTATATCCTAGCTAAGATAGCATCCCTCAGTCTCTTGCCTAAAAATGGATTCAGTTCGTTTAATTTGAATTGATTGTACTTTCCACTGTATTTCCCTTGCTTACAATCCATATCTCTCTGGAAGGAGATATTCACCCTCTGCTTTCTTAGATGTTACTACTACGAAGTCGTCAATCTCTTGGAAAGGAATAATGTGCTCCCGTATGATTTTTGTGTACATAAACATGGTTCTTTCTCTACTAAACTCCCATGTGCTTGGACATTGTTTTACTGTGATCCTCTCGGTTCCAAAGACTCCACTGTGCATCTCCTGACATTTACAAATAAAAAACTCAGAAAACAAAATAAGAACTATGCACAGCATCTTGTTGTTTGCTTTTGCTGCATTCCGTTAGACCTGAAGCCAGAAAGTTAGCCACTGAAGATGCTTGTTATTTATTTGTCTATACTTCTCAATATCAGAAGTTGTCAGAGCTCTGAGGAAAAAAGCACAACAGCTGTCCTTGCATATTGCATTGGATATTTACAGCTGCTCTTAAAACAACAGCTAATTTAAAGGAAATATAAATTGAATTATTACCATGTGGGTCAAAAGAGGCCAAAATGAAAGCGAAGGCCATTAAATTTTCTGACTTTCAAGATGTGAAGGTGTGATAAAACAAAGAACACCCGAGGCTTTAATTAGATGAGTTAAGAGCTGGGAGTTTTTAACAAGAAAGCAGACTAAAGCTGTATTGGAGCACAAGGCTGACTAGCTAGTCAGCTGTAGCAAGGCCATCACTCCCGTGTCTGCCCTTGTTTCTATGCTAATAAATGGGCAAAATTATGCTGCCTTTTCTCTTGCTTGGTGTTTGCAAATCCTTCATGCAAAATTCCACAATGAAAACGTAGAATTATTTATATAAATCCTTTCATGTAAAGGTTCCATGATTACTAATCTACAATTACATACATAACATAGCACCTCTGAAACACAGATGAGGAATACAATAGATTATGGCACTGTAAAACAACAGGCAGAAAATGGAGATATTTTTTTCCCAAAGTAAGCTCCCAAATTTTGTATGAAAAGTGTTACGTAATTCCTGTTCACATAGAGACTTAAGGTTAGGTAACTGCAGTAAACTGCATGGTATTCAGTTTACCTACAGTGCTTTAAAAATGATGAAGTATAGCCAGCCCTGGGAGAAGTCAGATCTGTGGTTTCAGAAAGTCTAGATACTGTTCCTCCCGACTTAAAATGAACTTCTGCATATGGCAAGGTGCCATTCAATCCCACCACACTGTTTAGAGGAAAATAAGTCCATACTGTTATTGAACTTATACTAGCATGTGCCAGCATTTATCAACGTAAGAACTCTACAGTTAAGATTTGCCAGCCTGAGATTCATACAAACACAGAAAGACATTAAAGAAAACAGAAAAATCACACACTTTGAACTCTTTTCCAGACAGTTTTCATGATCCTTTTAAGACCTCCTATAAGAGCACAACTGAACTTTCTCTATATACAACCACATCGGAGTAGAATACAGATTTGATTCACTTCAGTGGGAAAACCAGAAAAGCTTGACAAAAGAAATATAGACTGGTCCTTTCTGGATAAATATTTAAATATGCCCTCGATAAATATTTGCCCCAAAAGCATTATAGTTGCTGCAGTTCTGATGAGTTTCTTAGCTAGCAATAGCAATATTCATTGTAGCTTCTCCTTTGACACATTGCTCACAATCCTAAAAAATTTTAAAACAAATTATGCATGTTTCAGTGGACTACTTTGATCCCATTCTATTTGGAAAACAGACGTATCGAGTCTGAGCTAACTGCTACTTTGAACATTAGTTAGAACACGATACTTGCATTCCATTAACCCAAATCTTCCATCTTGAAGTGAACCATAGAAAGAATTTGTGTCCTATCATTTGCAGAGGGCAATACATCTTTTCCCCACTGGCCTGGCCCTACAAAGTACTGACCTGCTTCCACCTCCACTCAGGTGAGCTGGTGGAAGTCATGGCTAGACCACTCTCCATCATCTTCGGTAGGTCGTGGGGAACAGGAGAAGTGCCTGAGGACTGGA